CTCTTCTTGAATCTTCTTCTGAACTTTTAAATACAACTTTTGGTAAACTAGGTGACACCGACAGTTTTTTAGGTCAGTGTAGTCAAACCTTGTTAAAATTAGAGCAAGTCCAAAATCCAATTTCTGATTTTAATCCAATTATTCCTATCAAACAGAAATCTATCGTACAGTCTCCAGAATTTCAGTCTTTATTTATCGAACCGAACCTCAATCAACCTCTTCCCCTACCTCGTGAAATGGCCAACAATCAGATAAGTCTAGAGGCTGCCCTACGTCTATTACCACAGTCGTTTGATGGTACCAGTTCAGAGGATCTTGAAATATTTTTAGAAAAATGTGAGTTTGCCATAGAGTGCGCAGACTCAACAGCACAGGAAAAGCTTCTTAAAGGTATTCAAGTACGTCTATCCGGCAAAGCTAGACAAGCAATCAAATTCAAAGAAATCCAATCGTGGACTGACTTAAAAAATACTCTAAAATCCACTTTAGAACCACAGAGGACAACTACTCATCTCTATCTAGAGCTATATTGTACCAAACAGGCTCCTAATGAAGATGTTATTTCTTATGCCAATCGTGTAGAATGTCTACAATCACAAATTTTAGAACAAGAAACAAATGGAAAAAGCACTGAAGCAGCTACCGCCCTTGAGCAAAGCCTTAAAGCTCAAACAGTCCAAGTGTTCACCGAAGGTTTAAATAATCTTAAAGACTTTATAAAAGCTCGCAATCCACCAACATTAGAGAAGGCTATTCAAGCCGCCCGTGAAGAAGAGCGTGTCCGAAAATCATGGCACGAATCTAGGAAGTTGACCCCTACAACAGGAGGAAAGTCAAAAGTTATGTGTTTTAATTGTACAAAAATTGGTCATTTAGCAAAAGACTGCAGGTCTACTTCAAATCACACGCATAAATCATCAAATTTTATTAAGCCTAAATCTAATTTGCAAAGCTATCGTCCTAACTTGGCTCACGTTCAAATGGTTGTGTGTCGTTATTGTAAAAAATCAGGACACACTTTAGAAGTATGCAGAAAACGCCAATGGGTTAACAACAAGAAACAATCACAATCAACACCAGAACCACAGACATCTAATGCGGGAAACGAGACACGACAGGCAACTTTCGGCGGAAAACCTGTCAGCAGCATCAAATTAGCCGATCTCTCCATTTTACCGCAAAATTAGATAACCACCATGTTGTCTACCCAATTCATCAGACAAACTCGGGCACTGCCAGACTTCTACTTGATTCCGGTAGTGACCTAAACCTTATTAAAGTATCATCTCTTAAAAGTAATGTGATTTTTTATGATCACATAATATATCATTTGAAGGGCATAACTGACCAACTAGTTATGACATTAGGAATGACTACCTTAACTATACAACTAAATAACCAATTCCTTCAAGCAGAGTTCCATTTAATTCATCCTGACTTTCCCATACCTCATGACGGAATCCTAGGAAAACCTTTCATAGTAGGACATCAGACTCTCATAAATTATGGAACCAATGAATTAATCATTCCGAATTCAGCCGGTATTGTTATCTCTCCTCGATCAGAAACTCTTATTACCATACCAGCTTCGACTATTAAAGAAGGCACCATGCTCTTAATTCCTTCTCAGTCAATTAACGAAAACCTCGTAAGTGGAAATGTCGTAACTCAGGTCAAAGGCAATCGCGTATTACTTTCTATTTTAAATCAGTCAGAACAACCCGAACATCTTCAGATACCAAATCTCGAAAGTCTTAATTACGAAGAATATCTAGAAGTATCTATAAATATTACGCAGTCACAATCCCAAAGTAACATCGCTGGAAGCAGAATTAGCAAGCTCTTCGTACTGACCATCTGAACAATGAAGAACGAAATTCATTGGAAAGCATTTGCAGTCAGTTCTTCGACGTATTCCATTTAGAAGGGGATCCAATTACGCATACTACAGCGGTATATCACGAAATTAAAACACCTGATAATGTCCAGCCGATAATGGACAAGCCCTATCGACTCCCTTACAAACACAAGAANACGACTCCCCTACAAACACAAGAATGAGATTAATGAACAAATAGCATAACTCGAGAAAGAGGGAGTTATAGCTGCTAGTGAATCTCCATGGAATGCGCCATTATTAGTAGTACCAAAAAAACCAGACATATATGGAAATATCAAATATCGCGTCTGCGTTGATTTTCGAAAAATCAATCAGGTCTCTCAAGGAGATGCCTATCCTCTTCCTAACATCACTGATATCCTTGACCAGCTTGGTAAATCTCGCTATTACAGTACTCTTGATCTAGCAAATGGTTATTATCAAGTCCCTATGTTACCCGAACACCGTGAAAAAACCGCTTTTTCGACTGACAAAGGTCATTTTGAATTTATTCGTATGCCTTTTGGTTTGAAAGGTGCACCAAGCACATTCCAACGCCTGATGAACAAAGTTTTAATTGGCATAAATGGAGTAAAAGCTTTCGTTTACTTAGATGATATAATCATATATGCTAAAAATTTAGACGATCATTCTCAAAAGCTCACAGAAATCTTTGATAGACTTAGACAATATAATCTAAAATTACAACCTATTAAATGTGAATTTCTCCGCAAGGAAACTCAATACCTAGGTCATGTTATTACAGACCAAGGTGTTAAACCTGATCCAAGAAAAATAGAATGCGTTCAAAATTTTCCCGTACCTAAAAATGTTAAGGAAGTTAAGTCATTTCTTGGATTATCCGGTTATTATCGACGATTTATTAAAAATTATGGGGAAATTGCGAAACCTTTGACAGCTCTCTTAAAAAAGGATGTCCCATTTACTTGGAGTGACCTTTGCCAAGAATCTTTTCAGACGTTAAAATGCGTATTAACACAAGCTCCAATTCTTCAATATCCTGACTTTGAGAAACCCTTTGTCCTCACTTGTGATGCTAGCAACTATGCCGTAGGTTGTATCTTGTCTCAAGGTCCTATAGGAAAGGATTTACCTATAGCATTCGCATCCAGAACATTAAATAAGGCAGAACAAAACTACAACACCACCGAAAAGGAACTAACAAGTATTGTATGGGGTGTAAAACAGTTTCGCCCTTATCTTTTTGGTCAGAAATTCACAATTGTCACAGATCATCGTGCTCTCACGTGGTTATTTAACCTCAAAGATCCTGGGTCCCGGTTAACCAGATGGAGATTAAAACTAGAAGAGTATCAATACACAGTGCACTATAAAAAAGGATCACAAAATACCAACGCTGATGCTTTGAGTAGAATCCATCAGGTAACTACTCGTTCAACAAGTAAATCAGTAACCGAATCGATGAATTCAGAAAATCCAGAACTTTTACGAAATCCAGAATATTCCGAACACTCATTAACTCCAGAAAATTCAGAACATTCACTAACTCCAGAATATCCAAAATCATCTTCATTTTCCAATATTAATGAAACCATCACAGAATCTCCGTGTCAATACGTATTGAACAATATCAGCCATTATTCTAATCTTCCTAAAAATATAGTAGAAACCCATGGGAAGGTGTTGAATGCACCCTCAGACTATCATCTGGCAAATTTTGTATCCAAAGATCTCAAGTTATCAAAAGGAATTGCTTTAGATTTTCGTCGACAATTTGGGCAATTATCTAGTCTGCGGAAACAAAACAAGAATGTTACTGAAACCGCTTTTCTCAAACAATCCAATAGATTTATCCTCTACATAATAATAAAAGAGAAGATTTGGCAGAAACCAAAATACGAAATTATTTTCACTGCCCTACAAAATCTCCGAGAATTTTGTCATGTAAATCATTTAGATAAAATAGCTTTACCTGAAATAGATACTGGTCTAGATTGGTTAAATGTTCGATCTATCATAAACTATATCTTCAGAGACTCTAACATTCACATTCTTCTCTATTCTCTAGTTGAATACTCATCAGAACAAAAATCTCATATCATTCAAGAATTTCACCTAAATCCCTTAGATGGTCATCAGGGTATATCACGAACTATCAATAGATTAAAGAAACAACACTCATGGATCGGTATGAATCATGACGTGGCTGAGTTTATAAAAAAATGTACATCATGTCAGAAAAACAAGACTACAAATCGTCATGTAAAAGCACCGATGGTAATTACTACTACCTCTTCAAAGCCCTTTGAGAAAGTTTTTATGGATGTAGTCGGTCCTCTTCCACGTACACCTCATAACAATGCCTACATCCTAACTCTTCAAGATGATCTTACAAAATTTTCATGGGCTGTCCCTATGGAAAATCATGAAGCAAACACTGTTGCTTATCATTTTGTAACCAAATTCATATGCTTACATGGTATCCCTCAGAATCTCGTTACTGATTGTGGCACCGAATTTCTTAGTGATGTGTTTAAAGAAACATGTCGTCTACTGAAAATAAAAAAAACATCTACAACTCCCTATAGGCCGCAGAGCAATGGAAGTCTCGAGAGAAGTCACCGGACTTTAGGTGAGTATCTTCGACACTTCATAGATAAAGATCAGCGAAACTGGGACACTTATGTTCCATTTGCTATGTTCACTTACAACTCAACAACTCATTCTGCCACGGGATACCAGCCCTACGAACTTTTATACGGTTATGAAGCCCAAGTCCCAACATCATTTACCCGAGAACCGGAACCACAGTATAATTATACAGACTATCAATTCGAATTAAAAAGAAACATGCAAGAAACTCATAATATTGCCAGAAAAAGATTATTAGAAAAGAAGCAGAAATCTAAAACCTCCTATGACCAAACTCAATTCCTTCCCACACTTCATATTGGTGATAAAGTTTTAATTCAGGAAAAGGCTAACAAAGGAAAACTGGCTCCTAAATGGTTAGGTCCTTTTGAAATATTAGACACAAACGCTGATTCAGTAAATATAGTTATTAACAAAAATGGCAAACGTCAAACACTCCACAAGAACATGGCTAAACTCTTTCATGAATAATAATTAACAAATAATCATTATTGTTTGTTACAGAATGGTTACTCACTTCTCTCAATATTATGCAGAAAACCTAAAAGCGTTCATAAATATCACTGAGTTCAATCAAACGTCCGGTCTGTATTACGAATCCTATGGTCCCCTCAGAATCTCCCAGAGTACCTGGCAACTTATTTCCTACCTGGATTTAAAGAACTACCAGCAACGTCATTCTTTAATCTTAGGTTATTACAATCAAACGGTGCGTCACTGTCGGGACGCATCAGAAAATTCAAAAGATATAAAAATAGCTACAGTCTGTACCCAATTTGTTCAAATTACATTACCTTATTTAAATGAAATAGAATTCAATCATATTACTCTTTCATCTATGTTAAATCTGAAGGGGAATAGCAGTTCTCTTTACTCCCGACAAAAGAGAGGTCTAGCAAATTTCGTTGGTAGAATAGCAAATGTTTTATTCGGTGTATGTTCCGATCAAGATGCTGAATATTTTTATAATAAAATCAGCGAACTTCAGGAAAATAAAGAAAAAATTCTACGACTATCCAAAGAACAAATACACATTATGAAATCCGTAGTTCATCACACATACAATTCCTCACTACATCTAGATCAAACACAACAAAATATGTCCCGAAATATACAGAAACTACTATCGCAAAGTCAAATGAATGCTGATAAAATCAATTTAGTAGAATTCATTTCTACTCTAGCTGAACATACAGCCACCATAACTCTACTACTTAGCCAATACAGTTGGGAAACTCAGAACCTCCTTGCTATAGTTAACTCAGCTCTAAGTGGTCGATTACATTCTAGTATCCTACCTCCTAATATCCTACTTAATGAATTGAAAGAAATCCGTCTTAGTTTACCATCAACCCTTGAACTCCCAGTTTCTATCTATTCTACAAGTCTAACTGATTTGTTCAAGATAACTACTATTGATGCATTATATATTAATTATACTTTGATTTTTAATTTAAAAATCCCTTTATTGTCTAATTTAGATTTTAATTTATTTCACCCCATATCCTTGCCTATACCACAAGGAAATCAAAATTTTATTTTTATTGTAACCGAATCTAAGTATTTAGCTTTAAGTAGAAATAATGATTATTATTTTTCTTTATCAGACCTTCAACTTTCAAATTGTTTTGATTTAAGTAATTTTAAATTGTGTAAGTACTCTAAAGCACTATATCGTCATTCCAAAACAAAAAATTGTGACGTAAATCTATATTTTAAACCTAATTATCCAATTGTCAATTGTAATCTTAAGTATCGTAAATTGTTCATTCCCATATATCATAAATTAGAAACTCAAAACTCTTGGTTATATGTGACTCCTACAGATATGACACTCAAATGTAATAATGTACAGAACCTCTTTTCTATTAATACCATTGGTAAAATAACAGTGGATAAGTCTTGTACTGTGAGTACCGAAACTTCAGTATTATTACCATCTCAAAACATTATTTCTGTTTTCTCCCAAGACTTTGTTCCCGAGAATCCTTTAGTTTACATGAATTCTAATATAACTAATAAAATTTCTAAATATCAGCCTGAACCGTTAACAGAAAATAATTTCATTCAAGATTTGAATCAATTAGCAGATGACTCAATAGATCTCAATAATCTTGAATCCACAATAGCAGAGTCTTCCGATCATTTCATCTTAAATACTCATATCCCATTTCTTTACTGTCTCTTTCTAATAATAGTAATTCTAACTTCATATGCATTGTGTAAATATAAAAATACCACCCGACAATATAAACCAGATATCGCACAATGTACAAATTGTAATGAAAGTATGGTCTGAAGTCTTGTTAATTTAATTATTTTATTGTAATTTAAGAGTATTATATGTAAGTAGTATTTCAAACACCACTTCCATTTAAGGGAGGGAGTGTCATGAATACTTAACTTAGTTTTAATATTGTCCCACAATTGTAATAACAGATAATCATAAATTGAATTGTAATTGAGGTCGGCCTAAAAGAATGTGTCTATAAAGTATTTTTCGGTGTTGCAAAACCGGGAAGTGGGCCGACTGCGACGATTGTAATGCAGAGCATCGTCAGTCATTTGACAATTATTGTATGAATACTATCACTTTTATTTTTAATAAACTAATTAATTATTCGGCAATACTATTTTATTTTATTCTATTTGTTACTCTCGTAACATTAATTTTGGTGGCAGCGGTGCGATCCGAAGAGANTTATTCAATTCTTTTTCAATTTTTTTTTGTTTTCTTTTTTCTTTAGCATCAAGAACCATATCTACACCAAGCATACAACCGGGGCGTCCGGGAAGTCTCTGTGAGAGCAAAAATTTTCTATCTTCTGCAATACTTATTATATTTAGTGCATCTTGATGAGCAATATCGAAAAGATTATTTAGACTTTCTATATAATTTTTTTCTTTATTTTTTTGATGTTCGCTTCCATGGTTTTTACTTTTTTCCAGTGCCCTCCAAGCGTCATATTCCTTTTTCAACTTTTTTACACAGTGTGATTTATCTTTTGTTGGAATCCGTGCTTTTCTCCAAAAAATTAAACATTCCTCTATTACTAGTAGACAACTTTCAGACAACGTCATTTTGGCAAAACGCATGTTAGAAAATAATACACGCATACAGTCACCTATGGAGGGTAATTTGCTGCCAAGAATTTGAATATTAGTTGGGCCAATTAAATAAATAAATTCTCGCGTCATTTTCAAATATCTCAAAAAAATTAATTAAGCTGAATAAATGAATAAATAAAAAACACTAAACAATACCAAAACGCATGAACCGCGGAACAAACGAGTAAAAAAAACAAGTTGTAAATAAAAGTGGCGAATGATTAGATAATAAATTGATCGTATTACTAAAGTAGCCAAACTTATCAAAATTTTCCAGTTATTGTGATCATTATCAAATAATGTAAAAGGTCTAAAGTGCAACAATGAACACAATAATCTTGCTTAGTGACAAAAAATTGGAAAATTTCAGCAATAAATAAACTAGATATTCACAACATGTTTAAATGTCAATTATGTAAAGAAATACTAGTACTTTCATTGACACCTTAGTGNATTTTATATGTTTTATTTTGATTGATTATATCTTTATTAACTACATTTTGCGTTATTATTGAACTATTAAAACTATAAGTTAGAACAAAAAGATTGCTCCATTTATAAATACAACAGTGGGTTGAAAAAATCAAAGCTAAGGGAATAAGAAGTCATGTCACAAAAAATCATTTAACAGTAGAAAACCTGAAACAATGTCTGTTCGCGTCACGTGTGGTACAGAAGTGTTCAGAAATATTAATGAAAGGGCCAATAACTCGGCACTTCCGACAATTAAATATCATACATATACAGTGTATATTATACACCTTACAGACAAAATGTTTCCATATGTAGGAGGCCATATAATATGGTATATTAAAAGAGGAACAGATAACTGTGAAAGGTGAACATATAAAAAAAATAAAACTAGTTGGTTCTTTAAAAACTCTTAAAAAAACATAATTGTATTTTCATAAAAAAATTAACATCAACGTCATAATAATAATTTCGTAATAGTAATATTAACATTGCATAATATATATCATAACATAATAAAGATAAGGGTTGTGGCCAGTGCCACCAACCAATGCCTACAACTCGTCCATCCTGACATAGGGTTGACCTCAACCCTTATAAATAACATAATTAAAAAAAATATATCATAATTTAACATAGTGTCATAACATAATTATCATAAGGAACACTTTAGTTAGTACTCAGTCTTTTTTTTTTTTTTTAATACAAATACAAAAACAATTAAAATAAAACATAAACATAACAATAAATACATTATAACTTAAATTATTCTTGTGTTGAGTCAAGACTAGGTGAC